TGGCGCCGACAGCCGAGCAGATAAAAAATTACACGTGGAAGCAAAAATTCAAACGATCAGGAAAATGAAATGTGATAGACGTTTTCGGTTTTTTTCTGTACAAAATGCTTCACTCCTTTCAAACTACACTGTTTTTCTTCATGCTATCTCCATATTTTGCCCAACACGAAACAACTGATTACCAGAAACCAGAGACATGTTTACCTGGTTTCTGGACAACACCTGCTCTGACCTCTCGACGTAATGAATAGCCCTTTTCCTTTTTTAGAAACAAAGGTATTCCCTTATCGAGTTTCCGGTGAACTTTTCGTATAAAAGACGTCTGGAAACAATATGCCCTTACCTGCAATCAGACCTCCCGTCCTCTTCAATCATGCCTGCTCGCACTACTCCAGACCTTGAGAGCCAGGTCAGCCAATCTTCAGCTCTTGTAATCCCACCACCATACATGGACCCAGCTCATGCTCAAGCCAAGAAGCTCCAGTCCAGACTGAGCCGCGAATCGATTTCGCAAATGAAGCCTTGTGAGCACTGCGGCGCAGCTCCAAATGCTCAAGTGGCACATCTTCCAAGAGAGCAAGGTTGGTTTAGAGAAGGATACAATTTTTTAAATGTATTTTTCTCAGTATTCGTCTGGCCAGCCGTCCGACCAACCAACCATATCCATCAGGACTCGCGTAAATTCATCGGCTATGTCATTCTGATCGCTTTTGTGATTTTCTTGCTCTTCGCGGCTTGCAAGTATCTCCCATGACTATTTGTTCCGGCCATCTTAATTCAGACTAAATCAAAGTTTTTTTTTCGAGATAAGTTTTATTTTCGAGTATTAAAAACACACTTATTGTATATGATTCAAATAAATTCATTTCTAATTTGAAAAAACCTGAGATTGTGAGATATAAGTTTTACGAATTCGCGAAAATTAATCAAATCAATTCAAACATTTCCGGATGAGACCACTCGATTTTATACACATCGAAAAGATTCGCCAAATAATTTTTCTCCCTACGATCTCTCAATTCCACTTCGATCATTCGGTTGATCTTCATCATTTGTGCAATTCGTCCAGAATAATTTGTCATTCTCATCTTGTTCAAATAGTAGGCGTGCAAGTTGTCAGCCAGAATTCCGAGTAGCTTTTCGGTGGCTTCTAGAACTTTTCCTTGGTACTTTTTGCCAGCATCGTGAAGGCAGATGTGGAGAAGCATGTAGTTGAGTTCAGTGTTGGTTGGGTTGAGTTTCGTGAGATCATCTAGAAGACTATTCCAGTTCGCACCGACATCGGGGCCCATAAATCTGAAACTCTAATTGTTTTGGTTGAAGGAAAAGATATAGGAACGTTTCTGGGGATTTTAAGGGATTAGGAATGGATTTTGGCGAAACATCGATCGCTGGCGCCAAGATTGTGCGAATCGCGACCGCGACCGGTTGTGGGAAGGTTGCCGTTGACTATCAAGACTGTTTTTTCAAAAAAAAACTCTCGGTGACCCAGACTCCACTAGGCCGGGTAAACCCCTATCTCAGAAAGTACCCTAATCAAAATTCTGCAGCCCCCTCCCCCCGCACAAGTTCAACTACTTGGGACTTCATAGTTTTGGAAAACACATGTTTTATATCTTCCCTATAAAACTGAAATTGTCTGAAGAATGGGTCACAAAAAATGTTAAGAGGTCAATTCCGCAAGGAACCCCCAGCTCACCCGGGTCCACAAGTTTAATTACCTCGCTATCTCCTCAGTTGAATAATTTGTACACCAGGACAAATCCATTTTGATCTCTTTCATGTTCACTCTAGCTCCTCCAGAACACACAAATAGTCCATTTTCTTCTTCTTCCGATTTTAGCACATTCATCCTGTTATACGCTGATGTTTCAGCTAACGCTGCCAGCCTCATCCAAATAGTCCAGACGGATTTTTGAATGTCCAGCTGATACATTAGAATAGATTTAAAAAAAAGAGACACTGAGCGTTACCTTCACATCCATTTCTAGATTTCTGAATTCTTCAAACTCGGCCAGCCAATGAGCACTTCCGATGAAAGTGAGCTCCCAGAAAAGGAGAGCTTCTCGTTTTCCAATCACTTTGCAAACTTCTAGGGTATTGTTTATTTTCTTGGATTTCATAGCTTCCATGGCATATGTGACCCTTTCCAGGCTGGATTTAATTTCGTACGGGCCTAGATAAGAAGGGTCATGTTGAAAAATTCGTGACACTTTTTCTAAGAGATAGCTAACATCTATAATAGTTTTTGTGCTCGATGCCCGGTCCGGTTCGAAACACAAAATAAATTCTGGACGTCCCAAAAAATTGGCAAGACTTTGTGGTGTTGCAATCTTGCTCCGTTGAGAATAATTTGAGGAGTTCGATAGCAGGTCTCGATTCTTTTGGAATTCTAAAAAAGAGTTTGCATTTTAATCAAAAATAAAATTTTTAATTGACAAAAAAAATGACTTACTGCTCACATCCATTCCAACTTTGTAGCATTTTTTAAGACGACAAATTTTGCATTTATACCTAAAAATTCCAAAAGTTGAAAAAAAATTAAAATGGGAAGGATACTCACGATTCTTCAAATATTTTGCAGTTCTCCTTGTCACATTTTTTCTGTTTCAACCAGTTTCCCGACCGCCGGAAAAATGCGGCACAGGCGCGACAGCTCAAAACTCCAAAGTGTTTTCCGAATGCTGGTTGATCGCAAACTTCACATAATCCGGAGATATGGAGGGCGGGGGGCATTTAAGAATTTTTGTAGTAAAAAATATAGAAAATACACGAAAAAATTTTCCTACGAAAAAGAGGGATAAAGTTTGCGGGAAACCCCAGACGCTAAAGTAATAGAGAGGAGAAATGAATGAGTCGCAGGTAGACAAAGAAAAAGTACATAAAGGCAAACATATGACAAGGTGAGTGAGAGAGAGAGAGGGAGATACATTTACACCAAATCAAACATCTCCGAATGAGAATACTCGACTTTATACAAATCAAAAACATTAGCCAGGGAATTCTTCTCTATACGATCCCTCAATTCCACTTCAATCATCCTGTTGATCTTCATCATTTGTGCAATTCGTCCAGAATAATTTGTCTTTCTTATCTTGTTCGAATAGTAGGCGTGCAAGTTGTCAGCTAGAATTCCTAGTAGCCTTTCGGTGGCTTCTAGAACGTTCCCTTGGTGTTTTTTGCCGGCGTTATGAAGACAGAGTTGGAGAAGCATGTAGTTGAGTTCAAAACTGGTTGGGTTACATATCATGACCTCATCTATGATTTGATTCCATTTCAGACCGAATTCGCGGTTCATAAAACTGAAGTTTTCAATTTATAGTTTTAGAAGAATTGACTCTTTTCTAAAAGTAAGGTTCTAAAGGAGGGAAGGTCGTCGGAATTTAAAAAGGTCAGTTGAGTGTAACAAGGCTATCGGAGACACACCTCTCAATCTGTTCTGCCGAATAATTCGGCACCATCTCAAATCCATCTTGATCTCCTCTATTTTCAGTTTTGCCCCACTTGTACAAATTTGGATCCCATTGTCCAATCTCCCATTCAGCCGATTATACTCAGCCGTCTCCGCCAACGCATCTAATCTCATCCATATGGTCCATGCGGATTTTAGAATGTCCATCTAGAATTGAAGTTTGTTTTCCTCAGTCAAGATTCCAGATGTCACCTTTATCTCCACATTAAGCTGTTGGAGTTCCGGAAACTCGGCGAGCCAGTGAGCAGCTTCAAGGAACGTGTACTCATAGAAAAGGAAAGTTTCAGTTTTACCAATAACTTCGCTTAATGAAAGCGGGTGGTTCATTTTCTTGGATTTCATAGCATCCATTGCATACGGGACCCTTTCCAGGCTAGATTTCATTTCATACGGTCCTAGATAAGAAGGATCCTGTTGAAAAATGTGTGTCGCTTTTTCTAGAAGATAGCTGACATCTATAACTGTTTTGGTGCTTGATGCTCGGTCCGGCTCAAAACACAGAATTGATTCTGGGCGTCCCAAAAAGCTGGCAAGACTTTGTGGTGTTGCAATCTTGCTCCGTTCGCAATATGAGTTGGATATAGGATCTCGATTCTTTTGTAATTCTGAAAACTCATGGTTATATAGTTCCAGAATTTAACATTTCACTTGTGACGTCCATTCCAACTGTCAGGCATTTTTTGAGTCGACATATTTTGCACATATTCTTTCTGAAAAAAAATCATATAACAATTTTTCAAGTTAGTCTCACCCAAAAACTGGACACTTTTTCTCTAAACAAGATGACTTCCTGGTCCAGTTGACTGCTCTTCTAAAAAACGCGGCACAGGCGCGACAGCTCAATACTCCAAAATGATGGCCAAAAGCTGGTTGGTCGCAAATTTGACATAGTCCGGAAATATGAAGGGCGGGAGGCATTTTGAATGATAGGAATGAAGCTAAAGTGGATAGTTAGAGAACGTTGTGAAATTTTACATAATACGAAAGTTGCTGAGTCAGAGAAAAAGATAAAAAAGAACACGAAAACCAATAACGCTTTTCAAGTAAGACAGTCCTTGAGCTTCAGTATCGGTCAAAAAGTTATCAGGTTGTGCCAATATTCTGTGAAAATATTTATCTTACTGAATATTGAAATCCTACATTTTTTGTACAAATCTTTGAAAATATTGGAATCATTAAATTGTTTGAATTGTTCAAAAATCTGAATTTTTTTCGAATTTTTGAATTTCTGGAATTCTGTTTTTTGACTCCAAGTTGACCGCTTTCTATAGGAAATGTACGAACCAGTTTATTATTTTCGATGAGATACATTATGAGATAATTACATGAGATCAAGATTATTATGTTCCAGAAATAAGTCTAGAAAAATTCAAACATTTCAGGATGTGAAAAATCGATGAAAAAAACATCAAAAACTTTGACAAGCTGAGCTACTTCTCTTTGACTTCGAATGTCTTCCTCAATAATTTGTATAATTTTCATCATTTTTGTGAGTCTTCCTGAGTAGTTCGGTGTCTTCATAGTTTTCACATAGTAGTCGTGCAAATTGTTAGCTTGGATTTCCAGAAGCTTCTCAATCGCCGCTCGGATCTCTCCGGGAAATTTTCTCTCCGCATGTTGGAGACACAACTGGATGAGCATGAAATTGAGCTCAACATTTGTGAGATTCAGTTTCACTAGTTCATCGATGGACAGCTTCCATGGTTTGAATTTATCCGGGTTCATAAATCTGGAAATTCTCAGAAATTGCTGCCAAAAAAATTTATCAAGAAACATACGCTTGTATTTGATCATTTGAGTATTTTGTGATGAAACCAAAATCAATTTCCACACTCTTCAAATTCATACATCTTCCTTCTCCACTCATATACAAATCATCTCCCAGGAATTGTTTTCTTCGAAGGTTTGCAGTTTGTGCTTGTTGGTCCAAACGAATCCAAATGAGCCAAGAAGATTTCACAATCTCTAACTAAAAAAAACCTTTTTGGTAATTAAAAAAAACCATTTTGATCTTTTTTTAATGGAAAATAACCATTTTAGTGGAAAAATAGCAAATGTTGAAATCAAATTTTGAATAAAGTACCGGACCGAAAAATATACTCAGGGTACGGTAGCTCCAAGGTAGCTCCAGGGTACAGTATCTAAGTACCTTTAGGCTTCAATTCAATACCTTTAGACTTCAATTCCTCAAGGGTAGAGTACCTCCAGGGTACACCATCTCAATGGTACGTTATCTCGAGGATACGGTATCTCGAATGTATGGTACGTCAAGGATACTGATACCATATTGATTCGGTTCCTCCAGGTTAAAGTACCTCCAGGGTATGGTACCTCCAGAGTACGGAACCGCCATGAACCGGTACGATATCCCCCAGGGTACCTCTTCTTTGGAAAGGCACTTAATGTGTTTTATAACTCACTTTAACATGCATTGGCAGTTCCATAAACTCTGGAAACTTTGAGAACCATTTCACAGTTTTAATGAATGATCCTTCCCAAAAACTGAACAGCTCGTGTTGCCCAATTTTCGTCTGAAACTCTACTTTGGTGTCGAATCGCATTGCATTCAAGTCTTCAAGTGCCCACACCATCTTTTCTAGACTGTTCCCAAAGTTACATGGCGATGGGAGATATACAGAATCCTGAAATTATATTATCAGTTCCGTTTGGGAATAACTTGTATTCTTACATTAAACACATCGACCGCCTTATTGATAAGAAAACTCAAGTCGATGATAACTTTTGAGGTTGAAGCGTTTTCCGGTTCGCAAGGCAAAATCATCTCAGGGCGTCCTAGGAAATTCGCGAGGCTTTGAGGAGATGACAGTTTGGACGGTATGGAAATTTGGGAGCAGTTGGATATGAGATCTCGATCATTTTGGAATTCTGGAAACGGAGGATTTCATTCTCTCAAAAAGGTTTAGAACTATTTGTGGAAAAAAATTTAAATTGAAAAAAAACTCACTGCTAGAATCCATTCCAACTTCATGACATTTTTTAAGCCGACAAGCTTTGCAGTAAAATCTGAAATTTTAACTCAATTTTAAAATTCAAATATAGCCACTTACGTTCCATCCTCAGCAGTTGTGCAATTTCCTTTCGAGCAAACTATATCCTGAGATTTGGAACTTCGTTTTCCGGCACTCTAAAATTTCAAATAAATATTTTCGAGCGATTTTTCTGATTATAGTTTTAAATGTTATTATTCAGAATCTTCTCCAAAAATTTACCAATCTAAATCTTTTTTTTTTTGATGATTAGTTTTTTCTAAAACGTACTAACCTGAAAAACGCGGCACAGGCGCGACAGCTAATCGCTCCGAAATGTCTTCCGTGTGCAGTCTGACCGCACACTTCACATGGGCCAGTTATACATAAAGCAGGTGGCATACTTTAAGACCAAAAAAATTTTTTTTTGGAAAATCTTTAAAAAATAAAATTTAAATCCTGAAAACGATGACACGAGAAAGATGGAAAGCGATAATATGGGAAAGAGAGGCAAAATTGAAAAGAGAGAGTAGCAAGAAGGAAAGAAAACACAATATAGAATGGAGAGACGCAGACGGTGAAAGGAAGTGGAGGACAAACAGATGAGAGACTCGTGTGGGGAGAAAAGAAGGTTCAATGGAACATTTTTCGAATTAGTGGGGAGAGGAGAATAGGAAAAATTGATTGATACCAGAAAAAAGATATAAAGTGATTGCTATCAGAAAACAAAGATATAAAACATAGTTTTTAAAAGCAAAATGTTTGTTGGTCAAGGGTCCAGAAGCAGTGTCCAAGACCACAGGTTTTTTTGAGAAATGCTAAATTTCTGAATCTGAAAAAATGTTTTTTGAAAAATCTATCTCACCAGGGGTACACAGAATGGAATCAACATTCAGAAAACCGAAATTCTGATTTGAAATGTCTGAGATTTCGAGATTCCAATTTTTGAAAATTTCAGATCACAAATTCACGAAATATTCAATTCCACTCATCCCTATCTCTCGCCCATGAAATCATAAGATCAGAAGCTGAATCCCAAAAACACAGCAAAATACGAATCTCGTCTGCGCCTCTCCTCTCTCGCTTCTTTCACAATTCATTTTCGTATTTTGTCTTCCCTTCACTCGCCTATTTCTCCACTCTCTTTCTCAACTCCACCTGATGCAATGTCCAAGGAATATAAATACTCCACAATTTCTCAACCAGACTTCAGTTTTTCTTGACAATTCTGAATAAGGAAAAATGATATTCATCCTTGTCCTACTTTCCACTCTTCTCTTAATTTACCTATTTCATTTGTTGTACTGGAAGAGAAGGAATTTGCCACCCGGGCCCACGCCACTTCCGAAATTCGGCAATTGGCTATCCATGGTTTTTCCGATGCCAGGATATGAGTGCTTCAGAAGATGGACCAAGAAATATGGAGATGTTTACACTTTCTGGCTAGGTTGTTAATTTTTGACAGTTTTTCCCAAGAAAATGACATTGGGATATAAAATAGTTCTTCAAAAAATATAACGCCCAGCATCCGAGGGTACTCCAAGTTTTTGAGGCTTGTTGATTCGGAATGCAACTTTAGAACTTCGAATTAGGCGTCATTTTTCAAGTAACCTCCAAGACCCTATGTGGCGTTTGAACCAATGTACTCTAAGAAGCCTCGGATACTGAGCAAAAATATGAAGACCCTGAAAAAAAAGATCCGCTATTAGTCAGTGGACCTCTATTTTGATCCACATACCTTTTTATCATCGGAGAGCCTTTATAGGCTGATGTGAGGGTCCTTTTTAGCCAAAATTGAAGTCAATTTAAAAACAATTAATTTCGAATAACCTCTAATACGCAAAGAACCGTTTTTTAGACAACATTTTTCAGAATCCGAACCCTATATCATCATTGGATCCTATGAACGAATGAAAGAGACCTTCATCCGAGACGGTGACTTTCGTGAATTTGTGATCTGAAATTTTCAAAAATTGGAATCTCGAAATCTCAGACATTTCAAATCAGAATTTCGGTTTTCTGAATGTTGATTCCATTCTGTGTACCCCTGGTGAGATAGATTTTTCAAAAAACATTTTTTCAGATTCAGAAATTTAGAATT